GGCTGGGGCAGAGGGCCCCGCGGGCAGCGCGGGAGGCGGAGAGCGTGGCGGGGGAAGATCCCGGCGTTCTGCCCGCGAAGTGCACTGGCGAGTTCAGCGACCCTGGCTCTGCCTCGGACTCTCTGCCCGGCGGGCGAATGGGATTTACCACCGGGATCCGCTCTACGTGCTGCGGTTTGGCAGGAGGGTGAGGGGCGCGCAGGAGGAGCGACGCCCGGCGGTTATGTAATGGGTCAGCCCGCTGTGACCCGAGCTAGCTCGCTCCGGACGGCCCGACCCTCCCCGGAACAGCCGTGCGTGCCCCTGACCTAGGCAAGCAGAGGGCCCGGTGTTCTCAAAAAGAACTTTCCCCGGGAGGGCCAAAGAGCAGGCTGTGGAGAAGGAATCCAAGGCCTCCTTTAGGTGTATCTGCAGCCCGTCCCATTTCACAGCACAGAAAACCGAGGCCCCAAAGTGTTCGTTTAAAAAGCTGTTCCTTGGAGTTAGACAGGCCTGGATTCAACTCTTCTGAAAAGCTCAGTGACCTTAGACAAGTGACTTGAATCTCCGAGCCTCAGTTTCTTCACCTCTAAAAGAATGATAGTGCGCACTTCCTGTGGTTGCGGAAATGGAGGCGCAGAAGCCCGGCGTACGTAACAAGCCCAGTGAAAGTTACTGCTGTTGATTGTGCTGAAGTTCGCCCAAGCCCCCAAACGTCGCCTTGAGATCGCCTGTCTCACGGGCTTGAGGAAGGAGCTGCCGAGAGGTACCTCAGATAAGGCAGGTGCCAGGCTAACCTTCCTGTAAGTTATGCCCCCTGTCAGCACAGTCTCTGAACTGACGAGGTCTGATGCCAACGTCTTGGGGTCTCCACCTTCGCTGCTCAGCAGCGTCGTCCTCATCCGGGGCCCTGCTGGAAATGCGAAACCTCAGGCCCAACCCCAGAGCCTTTCAGCCAGAATCCCTAGGTGATTTACTCAGTTGTACTTCCAAGTTTCAAAGTGAGTTCAACTAGAAGGGGACTTGAGAGATACTGTATGGTGGCCACACAATACCTTCGGGGGTTTTTTAAATAGACCAGTAAAGTCCGTCCTCATTTTACCCTCTGGCTATTTCATCTCTTCTCCACCCCTCAGTTTCCTGCTCTTCAACTATAAATCTGGATTGAGGTCCTCTTTTCCCTTGCAAAAACCTCTGGGTTACCTCTAAGTAATGGTTAGTGAATCTGTGTCTAAAATACACAAAAGAATTAGCAAATAGGGCTTGTAAAAGAATTCATTAGCATTGAAAATGGACTGAAGATGTTGAGGCGGGGGTGAGCCCTGAGCTCTCATCTGTGAAGGCCTTTAGGTTAAAGGCATGAATACTTTTGCAGAAAAATACTCCTCTTAGTTAAACATTGTTTGGGGTGGCAAATAAGCCCAGGTGTCTTCTTTTTTAAAGTTTTGAAAAATTGAAAGAAGTCTCACGTGCTTTCCTCTACCTAGCTAAGTGAGCAGTTACAGGGGCTCTAGCAAAGTCCGAAGCAATTACTTTATGTGATTAAATGTTCTGTGTTTGTGTTTTGTGTGTGTGTGTTTGTTTTTAATTCTCAGAGTGTTCAGATGTAGTTTGGCTGACTCTATCACAGGCAGAGTGCTGTTCATCTCTTGCGAGGTAAGTAATTCTGGATTGTCGATGACGCTGATACCAACTCTATCAGGTCATTTCCATCTGCCTCCCCTTTGGGGGCTGCAAATAAACCCCTCAAGGTTGTTGAACAAGCTGGTGTCATGGGTGGGCCGTGTGGAGGCAGAGAAAGGGAAGATGGGAAAAGGAAAGGAATCTCCTTCTTCTGAGGTCGGGAGGGTCGGAGGAGCTGGGGAGGGGAGGAGACACCCCACTGCTTGCCTTGGAATCCAACCAGGGAGGAAAGGGAAAAGGCAGCATTTCTCCCAAACAGCACTGTCCGATAGAATTTCCTGCAGTGGTGGAAGTGGTCTATAGTCCCAAATGGCTATGAAATGTAGCTCTTTATGTTTAAATTTTAATTAAGATTCAGGTTTAATGAAATTCAGATTGTTGATGTCTTAGTGCTAGTCATTTTATATTTACAAAGTTGGGGGGACAAGGTACTACAGTTACAGCATTATTAGTTAAATAACTCTTGCTGATGTGATCAGCTACTCTGGTACCTCAACTACCATTTAATATCTGTGCTCCAGCCCCTCCCGTGGCCTCTCCCTCCCCACCCTGGGCTGGGCACTACCTGTACTGTTCTGGCCTGGAGGCACAGCATACTTCGTCATATCCCTACCATTTGTATCCAATAAATGAGTGTGTTAACTAAAATCACATTGCACCATGGTTCAGGAGAATCCATTTTCAGATGAGATTCTCAGAAGCCTGACACCTTAGGGTACATCCATTATGGAAGGAATTGTTTGTTCCTTTTATTTGGTCAAACAAGGATGTGTGGACTCAGCAGAGAGAAACGAGAACATTGGCTTCAGATAAGAAACATTTGGGGGTGTCCAGGTCAGACTGGGGATTACCTGAAGGTTGAGGGTGGGGGGTGGAAACTTGAGGCTTTTACCTAAATAGAATTTGAAAGTTTATTTCCATGGCTAACAAAGATTCTAAGGATAACTACAAACAGCATAAAAAAGATGCAAGTATTTTATGCTGTCAATTATGCAAATGAGGGCAAGACCTAGAATGTGAAGTTGTGAAATTCTTTCTGGGACAGCAAGAAACAGTGATTTGTGAATAACCTTCTCAAACTCCTGTTCCTTCTGACTTCTTTAATAAGATCACATCCTGTGGACACCTTTTATTTTTTATTGTTTTTAAAGCAATTGTTTATTTTATTTTTAGGTTTTTTGGCAGGGGTTGGGGATTAGGTAGGTTGGTTTGTTTGTTTGTTAAGTGGCAGTACTGGGGATTGAACCCAGGACCTCCTGCATGCTAAGCACACGCTCTACCACTGAGCTATACCCACCACCCCACTGTGGGCACCTTTTAGATCCCATTTTCTTCGTTGTCTTCCTCGGTTCCTTTTCCTTGAGAAGGTTTGCTTAGAATTCAGCCCCTATTTCTCTGCTCTCCTTTCGTCACCCATATACCGTCCCCCTGGTCATGACTATAGCTAACATCCGCTGTCCTGGGCAGTGCATTTCCAATTCTGACCTCTCTCTGAACCCCAGTTCTTGTTGCCAGATCCCCAGTGGATATTGTCACTGAAATCCTCCTCACCCTATCACTTCAAATGTTAACCCCATCAGGAACTAAAGTTGTCATTGCGATCTGCTCAGAGCTCCCCCCAAACTTCCTGTTTCTCTTCCCTGTCATCACGGCCTTGGTCTCTGGGGCTAAAATTCTCACATGGAGAGAATGACTTGAACTGTGGAATCATTTTAACTCATTTTTCTTCTTCGTGGAGAATTGGTATAATGGAAGACACTAGATTTGGAATTATGGGACCAAAATAAAAATCCCCTTTTTGTCACTTCTTAGCAGGATGAACTTGGGAAATGTCTTATCCTTCCTCAGCCTCATCTATAAAATTAGGTCAATAGTACCACTCAGAAAATATGGTTTCAGCAGCTGCTTATCTCAGCCTCTGTGCTAATTAGGTTAGACTCTCCCCTTTGCAGTAATGACCTTTTGGACGTGATAAATGTTTGTCATGGGGTCGCCTTGCACATTGCAAGATGTTTAGCAACATCCCCAGCCTTTAGCCATTAGCTGTCAGTAATAATGCTCCCAGTCATGATGGTCACAGTTGTCTTCAGACATTGCCAGATGTCCCCTGAGCCGGGGGGCAAAAATCACCACCCGGTGAGAACCAGTATGTTAGAGAGGCAGTAGTGTCTTACTCTGTGGGTCTGTGAGGATTACACGAGATGACAAACATGAAAAAAAAAGCCACTGGCACAGCACCTGACCACCTCAACATTTGCAGAACGTGGGTGTTCACTTATTCATGAAGCTCCATCAAGTTAAGGGATTCTCCGAAAATCACAGTTGAAAAACATTTTTAGGAAAAAAGAAATTTAGATTGCATTGTTCCGAACAATTATTATATCCTAGCAAGTTTTGTTTTTGAATTTAAGCAACACTAAAACAAGTTCTCTATATTACATCTTCCTGATCATTTTGTTCTCGCCCATTTATTCTCACTCCTCTCCAGCCTCAGAGTGCCTCATGTGTCTGATGCAGGAAAAGCGGATGTAGGGAGTGAGGAGGACTGTGTGCCAGGTCTCAGTTGAGTTCCCCATAAGTGTGAGTCCTTGGCTTCGCACAGGAAAGAATTCAAGAGCGAGCCACAGTTGAGTAAAGGTAGATTTATTTAGAGAGTTACATACTGCATAGAGTGTAGGCTTGTTTCATAAGGCAAGAGAAAGGCCACGAGGTGTGGGGGTTGGGTGCTCAGATTAGAGTAAAAGTAGTTACACACTCCACAAACATAGAGTGCAGGCCATCTTCAAAGATGAGGGAGTGAGGGGAGGCCACCAGGCACCGTGTTGCCAGTTTTTATGAGCTCAGTAGCTTCATATGCTAACAAGTGGGAAGATCATTTTAACTACCCTGGGGAAAGGGCTGGGATTTCCAGGAGTTGGCCATTGCCCACTCTTTGACCTTTTATGGTTAGCCTTGGAGCTGCCATGGTGCCTGTGGGCGTGTTATTCACCATGCTAATACAGTGGGCGTATAATGAAGCTCAAAGTCTACTAGAACTCAAATCTCCCGCCATCTTGAGCCTCAAAGCCTCATGAGGGTTGGATCTTCTGCCATTTTGATGACAATTGTTGTGTTGTTCCTTGAACGGCTGTGCCCTGCCCCCTTCCTTCCTGTCTCAGGTCCATCACTAGAACCACTGCACTTCCATTACTTCCTTCCTCATGCCCATCTATACAGCTAATCTTCCTGATACTCTTGGTGCTGGTGGTTCCTGTTTCTCCCATTTACTTTACTTTTTTGGCAGAGATTGAGGGGAGGTAATTAGATTTTTTTTTTTTTAATGGAGGAACTGAGGGATTGAACCCAGGACCTCATGCATGCTAAACATGCACTCTACCACTGAGCTATACTCTCCCCATTCCAAATTTACTTTCATTGGAAAGGAATTCCTCTGCTGGTTGGCCAAAGTCCTCTTCCATCCAAGCTTCGTTCCACTTTTCATTATCATATTCCCCAACACAACTGTCACAGTCTCCGGCATGTTGTTCTGTGAAGTCATCACACACATTTCTGGCTCTATTCTTTTATCCACATTCTTCCCCGTAATGGGAATTCCCCTTGCTCTCTCAATTCTGCCTTCATAGACTTGATAACATCCTTCACATCCCAATTCAGACTCCGACTTCTACTTATATTTGTAACTTCCTTTGAAAGGCATCAGAAAATAAGATGAGTTAATAATTGGATGGAGGGATGGAGAGAGGAACAGTTAGGTGATAAAAGCAATTTAGTAAAATGTTAATCTAGAGTTTAGGAAGCAGTATATGGGTTCACTGTATAATGTTTTTAACATTTTTCTAAGTTTGAAAATTGTTCTAATAAAAATAAATTAGAAAAAAAGAAAAAGAAAACAAATATAGCAAGCCTTTCCACCCATCTCCTGTCGACAGTGGTTAAGAATTCAGACTCTGGCATCAGGCATATATGAGTACAAGGCCAGCTCCACCTCTTGCTAACTAGGTGACCTTGGGTATGTTGCATGTCAACTCAAAAGTCCAGTTTCTTCATTAATGAAATGAGCATAACAACACCAACTTCCTTCTAGGACTATTGTAAAGGTTAGATAAGGTATCTACTTGTGAAGTACCTAGCACACTAGCCAATGCATACTTAATACAGAAATACAGAATTATTGACAGTAGCCAAGATATGGCTTAACTTAACAATTTAACTGTCTGTTGATGGATGAGTGGATAAGGAAAATGTGATGTATAAACATAAAATGGAATATTATTCAGTCTTGAAAAAGAAGATCCTGCCATTTGCAACAACATGGATGAAACTTGAGGTCACCGTGCTATGTGAAGTAAGCTGGACGCAGAAAAACAAATATTATAATCTCACTAAGATGTGAAGTCTAAAAAAGTTTTAAATTCGCAGAAGCAGAGAATAGAATGCTGTTTGCCAAGGCCTGGATGGCGTGGGAAATGGGGAGATGTTGGACAAAGGGTATAAACTTTTAGTGATAAGATGAGTAAGTTCTGAGGATCTAATGTACAGCATGGTAACCATGGTTAACAATACTGTATTGTATACTGAAATTTGCTAAGCAAGTAGATCTTAAATGTTCTCACCCCCCCACACACACACACACAGGTAACTATGGTAGGTGATGAATGTTTTAAGCAGCTTAATTGTGTTTATCATCCCACAATGTATACATATATCAAATCATCACATTGTACACTTTAAATATATTCAATTTTTATTTGTCAATTATACCCCAGTAGAGCTAAATTAAAAATATTAGCTGAAAATATAACAAATACAAACACTCCTCCCTGGACCACATAGAGTGCAGGCTATTTATGGCAGGAAACTTCTCTATCTCATTTACTATTCCCCCAATGTTGACAGAGTAGGAACACTTCAGTAAATCTTTGTGGAATGAGTGAATATAGTTATGCATCACTTTGTTGTCACCTCTATTGTTC